CAAGTAATCTTCTTTTTCAACTTTACTGTAAAAGTAGGGTCAATTGGTAGCATCTTGTGGAATGAAAAGGATCCAAAGCAACATTTATTTTATAGCTTATTTGTGAAGCAAAACCATAATATCAGCCTGGCGCAGGAAAAAAGTCACTAAGGCCTCGTTTGGGAACAGGTTAATTTAGTAATTTTTTAGTTATTTAGCTAAAATATGAGCTAAAAAAAACTAGTATGTTTGGGATGACTTTTTAGTTTTTTACGAAAAGATGTGCAAAAAGTAGAGAGAAAAGAGAATCTTTGACTTTTTGGTATGGATGGTTGGTTTTTTGGCTAATTTAGTAACTTTTTGGCTTTTTGACTAAAAATGAGGGTTCCCAAACGAGGCCTTAGGCCTCTTTGACATGTAATATTTTTAGTAATAGTTAAAAAATTATTAAAAAATTTAATAATTTATAATTTATATTAAAAAGTCAAAATTTATTTTTTTTTCTCTACTTTTTACATATTTTTTCTTAAAAAATTAAAAATTTATTTTAAATATACTAATTTTTTTACTTCATATTTTAGCTAAAAAATCAAAAAAATTACAAAAATAGCTTGTTTCCAAATGAGGACTTATTCCAATAATTTAATCTATTTATATCTTTTAAATTTTTGTATGTAAAAATTATTTATAAAAATAGTTAAAAAATTATTAAAAAAATTAATAATTTATAATTTATATTAAAAAGTCAAAATTTATTTTTTTTTCTCTACTTTTTATATATTTTTTCTTAAAAAATTAAAAAATTATTTTAAATATACTAATTTTTTTACCTCATATTTTAGCCAAAAAATCAAAAAAATTACTAAAATAACTTATTTCCAAATGAGGACTTATTCCAATAATTTATATCTTTTAAATTTTTGTATGTAAAAATTATTTATAAAAAAATACTCACTCTGCTTTAAAATATTAGCCTCTTATTCCATTTTTCATTGTCTCAAAATATTAGTCATTTTCTAAAAATTATGGATTAAAATAATATGAATTTCCTATTTTGTCGTTCTTTTAAATTTATTAACAACACAAAAAATACAATTATGACAATTGATATTTCTAAAAAAAATGTACTACCAAAGAGTAATTTCGGAAAAATAATATTTTTAAAGTACAATAATTGTATTACCAAAAAAAATTAAATTCTCCAAAAACGGAGGAAGTAATAATAATTCAATAATTATCTATATAGTGGATAGGATTGTGAATTCGAGAGAAATTACTTCTAACTAATTCTGATTAGATGTATATTTCTTATAAAGATTTGACTTCTCTCTAATAGGAGAGAAGTGTAGTGTGTTGATTTAGTTGGGTTTGTAAGGTCTATTATGAGTCTCATTATGATAATTTGAGTAATCAATGATCTATATACAAGAACTTACAAAATAAATTAATGGGCCTCAAAACCTTGTCTAACTAGATTTCACTTCCATCAGTTAAGGATTCATTTGAGAAGTGAATTTTTTAATAAAATATGTGATAACAAAAAATTAAAATTTGAGAGGGTAATTTATAGACGAATTGGGCCGAGCTGGGCCTTTATGGGCCTCAGTACGAAGGGCTGAGTAAAGAGGTCATAAAGTTACTCCGGTCTTGAAGGGGCTTAAAGTTAGCCCGGTCTCAAGCCCAGAAGGTAGACCGGTCCGAGGAACTCTTGATGTTAGTCCGATCAAAGGACACTTTGTAGTTAGACCAGTTTAAGGATGCTCTGAACTTATATCGGTCATGACGCAGTGAAACAAGATTGGTCTAAACCGATAAAAGATAGTTCGGTTTTGGGCATACATGGTTTGTTGAAAACTATGGACAGAGAACCGAACTAGGTATGGTTCGGCTAAGCATAGTCGTGATTACTTCGGTCGTATGGTAGGTCGGCCATGGAAGAACCATCTTACTTGGTTTAAGCAGTGAGGGGGTTGAAGGATAAGCATTATCCTTCAGGAGTATGAATCCTAGGAGGACTCTGCATGGAGGAGTAAAAGTCCTACTAGGATTGTGCCACGCAAAACCTATAAAAGCTCACAAACATCACCTATGGAGAGGTAACACACAGCTTTGATTCCTGAATACACAGAGCTTTTGTCTACTTGTCTATTTTGCTGACTTAGGCATCGGAGAGGTTTCCGGCACACACCCGCCGGTTAGCTCATGTTTGTGTTTTCAGGGAGTAAAACGACGGCATACGGAGGAGCGCAGACTTGATCAACAGGATTATACGAAAAGGTTTATTTCTTTCCCGTACAAGCCTCAAAACCTTATCTAACTAGATTTCACTTTCATCAGTTAAGGATTCATTTGAGAAGTGAATTTTTTAATAAAATATGTGATGAAAAAAATTAAAATGTTTGAAAATAATTTTATGAAAAAAATATACAAAAAAATTGAAAGAATGAGAATGAATTTTGACTCTTTTTTTTAAAAAAAAAAATTTATTGACCTTTTAACTTTTTAATTAAACTAATTTATT